TCCGTTTGAGTGGTTCTAACGTTTACCATGAAATTATTCCTTAAAGTATAGTTTATAAACATTTATATTCAGGGTAAACTTAAAAAACGCTACTCACGGTATGTTTTCAATAAATAAACACCGAAATCACCAGCCCAAACAATAACACTCACACGATTGTCGTGACGTAATTTTGAAGTTGTTTATTTTTTTAAATGACAGACCACATTAAAAGAGGCATTAAAAACTTTATAATTTGCTAGAGTAGTTACCGAAATAGCAATGAATATTAGTTCTTTTACCTGTTATAACTTCGATATCCGATAAATCGGTATAAAATCATCACCGGCACCTCTAGGTGTGGTATACTTCCAGAGAAGGATGAATCGCGCAACCCTTTGTGGCGGCATGCGTCCACGGTTGCATGTATCGCGTGAGCGTCGTTTACTATATCCTACAACAAATTTGACGCCTCTTCGTTGAGTCTGGTAAGTGACGCGATCCGTTTTTTGAGCCTCAGTCAAATTGTGTGGGATCCACCGAGAGCACAGCTTTTTCACACCCAAATGTTTGTGTAGTATTGATTGTATTCGACTCATCGAATCTCATGGTATGTCACATGCCTCTCTGTTTTGATCATACGGCGCACAGCATCGATGTTTTTGTTGTTCACAGCAGTCGACGGGCGACCATCACGAAATTCGTTATTGAGATTCACACGACCGCGTTTGAATTCTTCAAACCAGCTATAAATAGTCGTCTTGCATGGTACTTCATTGTTAAAAGAAGTTGAAGCCGAGTGAAGCTCCACTGAGCTGTTACATTACACTTAAAATCGTAGAAAATCATACTACGAAAATGTTCACGAGTTGAATTTATGGTGATGTAGACAACTAATTTCTAAAATGACGCCACAATGTAAAATCAAGTGACAGTCAGATGAAACAAACTGTATTCTACAGCCAAAGAGTTCCATTTTCAAATGTTGTAATTCTTTTTTAAATATTGTTTATGTAAGTGGCCAGTTCCGGAAACCTATAGTGCACCTTATGTAGCAGCTACCAACAGGTACAAAATGAAACCGAAGCATTGTTACTTGTTAAAAATAGCGCGCAGCTTTCAAATTTCTTTCATAACTGTTATTTCACATGTGACATGTAAAATATTGCTCCTTCCCGAACATAGACGCTTACACTAGCTTATGCAATTATATATAAGTATCACCTGTCAACACATACATATGAAATTAATTACTGAACAGGCGCTTGCCGCCTTTTCCACCAAAACAAGAGAAATATGCTAATATATCGCACTGCTATTACAATAGTGTTGTAACTCAAAATTGGTGAAATTCGAGTTTATACTAATGCTAAACATAAAATTTGATTACACGTCAATAAAAGCGTCATTGGAAATAATTAAAAGTAAGAAACAATTAAAAGATATCTACTGAACTCAAAATAAGGCAAAACTTTGTGTAAGTCTTTACGCAAATTTCAGTATATTTGGCATTAAGAAAATTGTTTAGATGTCTGTAATAAACTTTAACCATGTAGGTTTAAATATAAATCATATAAATTTTAATAATCTTTCACAGAAAGTGAGTAATTCGTTTTTCATTGATTCTGAAAAATATACATTTTGAGTTATTACACCATTGTATTGACAATGCGATATGTAGAGGCTGTGTGGTAGAACCTTTGCTTCCCTAAATAAATGGGTGAAAATTTGCAAAAAATATGGCTTTTTCCTTTTCACGCAGTTAGTATTTGACTTCAAGTCACGTTGATTCAATGCAAGTTGGGAACTTTACACGTTTTCCCAAGGGTACTGAACCTTCTTCAATATGGAGGTTTTATCACGATGTCTACTTCCACCGTTAACGACAAGTATTGGCTACTAAACATTCACAAAGTATGAATGTATTGTATTGAAATTCTGATCTTATATCTAGCGAATCTACCGCTTGATTTTGCGCTAATGTGACAAAAAAACACATACTTGGTATTACATTTTAATTTTAAGACAAATCTTACATCAGGTACAAAAATAAATAGAATTAATATTTTATAGTTCATTTTATATAACATGGGTACGGTGACATTTGAGATTTGAAGTTTCTAGAGATGTAGTTATGTAAAATCGAACGAAAAAAAATCGATTTATGTATCTTATCGAGATAAGTAGTAGTCTTAAAGAGAGAATCGATTTAGAAACAATAATTTTAAGAACAGTTAAATAACAAAATAAAAAGGATTAAATTATTATGTTATTAAGTTACTATAAA